CTTTATTTCCTGTAATTTAGGTAATCTCACTTTCATGGACAGACATTTAAAGTTGTAAAGGGCTCCCAACATAAGAGCTAATGCTGAATAGCTGTTGTTCAGTAGATTTTCCTCATGAAAAGCTTCTAAATTATTACAGAGGATGCAAGCAAGACTATAATCTAAAAATGGGAAGCATAAGCCTGAAAATAATATTTTTATGGAACTGTATTCTAGAATAATATTCAAGCCATATCTCTCAGATTCCTCCATTTCCTTTGCTTTTCTTTAAAGTCTGATACCTATTTCTCCTCAGAATGCAACAGCTTTGAAGGACCCTCTTTTAGATCTAATTCCAGCTGAGATTTGCCTAACAGAGTTAACACAGATGGGTACATGCTGCAAACTGACAGCAAATAAGAAAAAATATCATTTGTTTTGCTATAGATTAACACTGTGAGACAACTGGTGAAAAAGCATGTGCAACTACTGTTTTTTGCTTAATAATCTAGTAAAGGCATATTTCTAGGAACATTTGTGCTTTACCTATGTTTTCACATGAATAGTGACTTAAGAACAAATTTCATTTGTTTTAAAAAATCAAAATTCCACCTTTCCAGCAAGTATTTTTGGTAACCAGGTTAAATACTGCAAACAAATCCTGAACCTTAACAGAGTGCTTTGACCTCATCTCTATTTAAATAAAACAAGAGTGTTTTATACTGTAATTGGAACACAAAAAACACCCAAACCAATTAAATTCTACTAACATTCTACTATTATCTGTTTTAAACAGAGCAAAGATGAAAGGGTATTTTTTTATTTTCTTGTTTGGATTTCAGTTTAAAATATCACACATAATTCCACTACCTCTCTCCCCTGTATTGAGATTCTTTATACACTAATACTAGAAAGGTAATGAAAACATATTTTTCCTTCACAGTTTCACAACCAATGCCACACACGTCTCTGTAATATGCCAGTCTCTGTATGTCTCCTTTAGTTTCTCAGATTTCTTCTTTGTTCTGATCTCTTTATTTTCTCCAGAAGCAATCTCCTAACCTGAAGAAGTGCTAAATGTTCCATCTATTTCATCTTTTCCCATGGATTTCTTCTTTCATGCATTCTCGTATGTACTTTAAATTCTCAGGTAGGCTTGGAGGCTCATTCTGGAAACATTCCTGTACTCTGCAAAAACACCCCTTCACTTTAAGTTACAGTGGCATATAAACACTTGCAGGATCGCATTTTATCCCAGCAGTCCTTTCCTGTCCTTAGCTTATCTCTGTGCCCAACAATCTAGTGATGAAGATTACTCAGAACATATTTAAAACCCCATTTTCTTTCCCCGAGGCTCAAACACTTATCCAATCAATTCATGTTCTGATTGTAGTATCTTCAAACTGGTAAAATTTACAACCTCTCCTCGACAAAATCAACATCTTAGCTGATTTTAGGTCTGAGCTTGTGATGAATTGCAATTGGGTACAATTTTTCTAAAGCCCTGCAAACCCCTCTACCTTAAGACTTTTTGATAGTGCTGTTCAGGCTAGTTTTACTTTTTGTTATGCAACACGTCAGCATCTATGGTAGTATCAGAATAATCACATATCTACTCCAATAATAGAACAAAGTTGAAGAGATTAATTATTAGACATTATTAATCTCAAGATAAATATATTTAGCATTTCTAGAAAAAGATGCCTATGATATTAAATCACTAATTGAACTTGATAAGATCTTAATTAATGTATTATTAACAGATTCTATTTGGTATTTACTTGATAAATTATATTTAATCAGTATTATTGTTTATGAGAGAATTTTTTTCCTGCCTAAGCTTTTTGCATGGACTTATATACTCTTGTATGATGACTGATGTTTAAGCTTTTCCAACATTCTTTGATAGTTGCCCTGTTGAGGTTCAGCCTTGCTGTGCCTGCTGACACCCTGACAGCTGAACTGCTCTGGAACAGCGTGTGGGCACTGTGCACTCACGTGGTGTCTGCAGGGCTTGCTGCTCTGGCCACTGCTGCAGCTTAATACCTGGCTCTAAGGAAAACCAAGCAGTGGGAAAATGTGCATCAGTATCTGGGCTACCTCCTGAACCATTCTGAAGTGGAAATCTTTAATCCTGAAAACCGTTACTTTTAAAATGTAACGGTTCACAACAATTGAATTCTGTGGCAACAGGGAGACAAACTTTGCCTCTCTGCCATAGGCAAAACACCTGCTCAAGTCACCCAAATCAGAACACAGGGGCTGGCAGTTCACTCAGAACTGATGGAACTGTTCATCCACCTTCTGCATTTTAGAAAATTCTGATTTTTGTTTGTTTACTTGAGATAAACTCCCCAGCAGTAAAATACGGACTGTGTATTTTATTTTCATTCCTTTTTTTAGTTGCACTTCCAATTACTATGAAAACTTAAAAAAATTAAAGTCTGTATTTTTATGGTACACTAACTGAAGGTAGAAGCAAAAATACAATAATGTTACAAAACCTGATCACCAACTGGTTAATTTAAATATATCCATTTATTTTGCTTTATTTCAGTGAGGATATGACACTAAGAAAAGTACTTGTGTTCTCAACTGTTTGAATACAATTCCACTCCATTGCTTCTGAAGACCACCACTGGTTTATCGTCTGTATATTTACATTAAATTCATGTTGGTCTGTGGAACAACTTGAGTTTTCAACCAATAAGGTGTAGAACAAACCATACTTGCATAATTTTTTAATGATTTGATAAATATTTTAGACTGGGAACCAGGGCAGAAAAAAAATCATTATCAGATCTCAATATTCTGTTACTGTTTGTAGGTCCTTTTAGATGCTGAGGACATCTTAAAGCCATCTATGAAAGTGCATAAATTCAAATTAAGTTGCATGCAGGGCTGGATACACTTCCTGTAATTCTTCAGATTTTATGTCCAAATTAAGTTCTTTCCAACCCTCTCAAAAGGCATCAGTCAACATGGACAGCTTCCATCAAAATGTGGGGTTGTTAGAATGATGGAAAATCTAAATGTAAGGGGCAGATAAACCCCGAGCTGGGATGAAAGACAAAGGAATTGAGCAAACACAACAAGCGAAAGCCAGAGTGCACTACCATTATCAATTCCTGCTCTGCACCCACAAATGCCAATGATGAGAGGCTGCCCAGGGCTGTTTTCTCTCACTTGCTGTGGAAGTCAAACACTGTAAATAACAAATGTCTCCTCCTCCTTTTCTTAGTTTTTTTAACTAATGCCACATGGTATGGAATATCCCTTTGGTTAATTTGGGTCAGCTGCCCAGTCGTATCCTCTGCCAGGAGAATGTGGCAGGGACAGCGTTGATGCTGTGCCACACCCCGGTGTGTCACCAACACCTTCGCAGGCACCGATGCAAAGCCGTGAGGGAAATGAGCTCCGTGTCAGCCTGACCCAACACCGGCTGAAGAATCAGCACTGAGCGTGGCCCGGGAAGGAAACAGGAGCCCAGGAAGCATCTGCTTAAAAGCCATCCTCCAGGCAGCCTCACAGAATGATTCTGCTGCACAACCAGGTCAGTGCTCATTTCTGACAGAACGCCAGCGGTTAAAGGGAATCCCGTCACTCTCTCATTACTGTTATATGTAATGAGTAATTCGTGCCAGTATAATACAATATGTGTAATATTTGATATTGTTGAAAGCACACACGCCAGCACTGGGAGTTGCCCCCACATATCCGAAAACCGGTTTCTGACAAAACCTCATTTGCAAACTAATACATGTGGCTCACTTCTCGAAGTGATACGGGGACACCTGGGCGCTGATCATCCTGACAATGGCCCTAGATTGGGATTGACTCTAGATTGGGATTGACCCTAGATTGGGATTGACCCTAGATTGGGATCAACTCTAGATTGGAATTGACTCTAGATTGGGATTGACTCTAGATTGGGATCGACTCTAGATTGGGATTGACCCTAGATTGGGATCGACTCTAGATTGGAATTGCTGGGATCATCCGGCTGAAACATCTGAAAGCCGTGTTCCCATAACTCCATCAAAAAGATTCATCACCACCGGACTCCGAATTGTTCTACCCCAGCACAGAGAAAAGAGACTTTATGAATATGTAGGACTTTGAATGGAAAGACGGATTGCCGAAATCCCGGCCTCGGGCAGAGTATTTGCTGTAAAATCTGCTTATATCAAAAGTGTGGTGTGGGCACAGGGGGACCCCCTGCTGAGGCTGTCCGCTGTGTGACGCGCCCAGCGCCGAGCCCGGGCTCGGCACTGCCCTTTCCCTTGCGGCTGACTCGGAGAGAATTCGACCTTTAATAAAATTTCTATTTTTTCATTTTTAATTTGGCTGGATCAATTTTTATCAGTAACATTACTGAGGCGCTTCCACATCGTGCTTTGATGTTGCCATCACAAATTACTTTTACTGTCCCGTGCACTCCCCTGCCGGCCGCAGCGCACCCCCCCACAGAACGCGCGGCAGGCGGCGGCTGAGGCGAACTCGGGGGGAGGGGCCGCCCCGGCCCGTGACGTCACGCCGCAACCTGCCCTCGCTCTACGCGCTGCCCAGAACCGTCCGCCCGGGCAGCAGAGCCGCTGCGAGAAAGGTTCCGGGCAGGTTGGGTTCCGGGCTGCCCGCTGCGGCGCGGCCCGCGATGATCCCGGTGCCGGTGGTGGTGACCGTGCTGGGCGGCTGGTGCGCCGTGTACCTGGCGGACACGCTGCTCAAGGTGAGGGCCGAGGGCGCGGGGCCGGACGGGGCCGGGAGGAGGCAGCGGCAGCCCCGTCCCCCCACCCCCAGAAGCCGCGCCGGGCCCAGAGCCTCGCTGCCGAGCCCGGGCTGGCGGAGCGGCCGCGCCCGGCCGGGTCCCTCTGAGGCGATCCCGGCCCGGCCCCCTGCGCTCCCCTGGGACCTGAGGCGACCCCGGCCCGGCCCCGCCGCGCTCCCGCGGGCCCTGAGGCGATCCCGGCCCGGCCCCGCTGCGCTCCCGCGGGCCCTGAGGTGATCCCGGCCCGGCCCCGCTGCGCTCCTGTGGGCCCTGAGGCGATCCCGGCCGCTCCCGCCCCGCGCTGGCTCCGAGCGGCTCCGGGAGAGCGCCCGGGAGTTGAGCTGTGCCAAAGGACCGCAGCCGCCAACAGTCAAGGCAAACAGCTTTTAATGTACTGCTTAAGCGGCTCCGCGGGGTTTTAACGCGCTGTCCGCAGTTTATTATTGTTGTTATATTAACAAAACCTAAAAGACAGCCTTGCAAGTTTGCGGTTTACAGTATGTGCCTTATAATGGCGATTTTCCTAAAAGATGTAAAAAGCAATGCGTATTTATTTCTTTTGAATATCTGTAGTTTTACAGGGAAAAATTGAGACAGAACTCGATACAAATACTTTTTTAAAGAAATAAACTTTGATCCTCGGAGACTATCCTTTTCCTCCTAAAAATGGAGGTAAAGTTTAAAAAGAAAATACACCAAGACATCATTTGTTATATATGGGATGCGTCTGTGCATTGCTCAAGTTTCATTAAGTGGTGTGGCGTTGTTTTGGTTTTTTTAAACATTTAGAGGTGTGATTTCTAAGACATGACCGAAATTTGAAAGAACGCATACAAAGTAGGCTGTGTGCTGGTTAAATATGAGGGAAAATGAAATGAGAGGTTTGATCTGTAATTCTTAATTTTACAGTCCAGGAGCTGCATCTGTTTCTTCCAAGGCAGGTAAGACTTAGTGATATGAAAGTGCAAAATGTGCATTTTGTCACTCCTGTGAAATATAGGAAGAAATACAAGAAAATTCAGATGCATAGAAAACTTGGAAAAGTGTCTCCCCCTGCAGCTAATTGGAGAGCAAATGTAGCTCTGTTAAAGATGAAAGCTCATAACTGCAAAATACAACTTGTACACGACAATAACAAATACAGTCGTTTACCTGAAGACTTCTCAAATTTTCGTGCAGCAAGTCTGTGTTAAGTGTTTAAAAAAAAAATACAGCATTGTTTTGAAAGACATGAGAAGATTGGCCAGGGACCAGGATAAGGTGCTCTGGCTGCAGTGAGACACAGCAGGAATGTCAGCCACGAATGTCAGCTTCTCCTCTGGCAGCAGCTTTGTGTCTGGTGAGGGCTCTTGGGCTGTGAAGTGAGAACTGAGCTCAGGTGCCAGACCTGTTGTGCCGTGATGCTGAGACCATTTGCATCATTGAGATTCTGAAGATCTCTTTCTGCATTGGACTGTAAAATCCAATTTAGATTAGATTAGACCATAAAATTACTTTTGTAAATAAGGAGAGTCACCTCATTTCTTGCAGCAGCAAGGGAGGGAAAAAAATCCCCTACATTGGAGCCTACTTAATACCTGATTTATGTTGAAAAATAAGGGGTAATGCCTAGAATTCTATAGCAAGTGTGAGAGTCCAGGAGTTAAATTTTAATTCTGATTTTTTAACTAAAAGTTGACCAAGGTTATTTATCCTCAGGAATTATGTGGGAGCTGTTGAGCCTCAGTGAACTTGCTGGTAGATCTGTTGTGCATCTCAGTCATAGGTTTCACTGTGAGTACCACAGTTCAAACAGAGTTTGGATTAAATAACCAGATTTATATCATTAGGAAGCTGAGATTGCTTGTACTGTAAATCTCCACCACAGTCACAACCCAGGGTTGCTAGCTTCCATAGCAAAATTGTACTGTTTAAATCACAATTCGCCTTCAGTGTAATTACACCAAGAGGATGTACAGAGAATTGAGTGAAAAAAAATGTGGGAGCACTTTTCCATTTGTGATCCTGTTGATATTTTTGGCAAGAGAAGGATGTGTGCTGTAACTTGCTGTTAATGTTTATTCTGTAAATCTGTTCAATGTGCAATGTTTTTTGCTCAGTTTGTTCCCTTACTGGTATTGTTCAGATTTTAAATATTCTATTTTAGCAGTCTGACTCCTAGACTACTATATAGAAAGTATAACTGTGTATAAATGTATTTTTGCACAGATAAATCCAATTGTTATAATAGTGCTAGAAATAAAAGATACATTTGTGTCAGGAAGCTAAAGCTATGCCAAATCAAGCTGGATTTTGAATGTTAAGTCACTCTTTTTGCTCCTCATTGTACCACTGCCACCAACATTTTCACTGAAGCTTGGATTCTGTAAGAGGGAATCACTCAGACCCCTAAGTTCCTTCTCCCCAGCATCCTAAGTCATCACATTTCATTCTGCCTGAAGGATCAGGAAGGAGTGATGTGTAGGAGGTTGTTCCTCCTTCTGGTGTGAGAAATAAAGGATGCATTAGACACATTCAGTCAAGGTTGGCTCTCAGCTTTTAGGGTCAGGAAGCTGAAATGATTCAGAGCTCTTGAAGAGATTCTGCCAGCAAAGAAGAATGTTGACTCCTGCTGGCTGGCAGATACCTGTGGAGCTCCTGGAGTGCTTAGCAGGTGTCCAGCATTTTAAAGGCTGCTTAGATAAATAGGTGCTGCTTTTATAGCAAAACTAATCTAACAAAGAGCTCTTAGATCTCAAAGAAGCAGGGCCAAGGCCTGTGTGAAAGCAGCTTGAAATGAAGCATACCAGGGCATGAGGGTGTGTGTTTCATGTGGGGATCCCACTAGGATCAGGACAGAAGGAGCAAAACTCTGCAAAGAGCTTTTTAATATGTTTTACAAAAGTTTGCAGTCATTCAGTGATCGTGAATAACATTTACACAAATTGTGAGGAAAATACAAAAGGAAAAATTTTGGTACCTTTCTTTTCCACGTTTGATGGTTCTATAGTCAGTGATTCCATATTCCTCATGGAAAACTTCATACTTACTTATATCTTGCTAGGACAGTGGGGCTGTGATGTTGTTGGAATAAATTGAAAGGTATGAATTTGTGGCATTTCTAGAGAAAAAAGTGGGGTTTACGTGTGATAAAAGGAACACTTGTTTCAAGTGTCAAATCAAAGTATCTGATTAACTTTATTAGAATAATGCATTAGGGTGGTTTTGAGATTTTTTTGACCGTGTGAATGAATAGGACTTTTTTTTTTTTTTTTTTTTTTTTTAATTCACAAATTACAGTTTCTCATAGCAGGGGTTCTTAATGATGCATGTATTTTTGTTCTGAATTTTTGGGTAGATTATGTGATGAGGTCTTTTTCTTTGTTTCCTTAGCTTATATATCACTAATTGTGTACCAGTCTAATCATCTTTTTGATCTCTTCTGTTAAAATCAGCAAAAGCTGATATGATTGAACTTAATAGTGCCATAGGGAGTGAGCGGTGTTGATGGGAGTGCATTATAGTGAAAATTTCTGTTGGTGCCCTCAGCTGACAACAAAAATGTGTCTGAAATCAGTAGGGTGAAGAAGAAGGAAATGATACAGAAATATATAGGCAGAAAGGATAAATGGTGTAAGAGGTCATGCATGAACAATGGCTCAAGTAAATGGGTCTCGCAGCTGAGGAAATTTGTTATTTGAAATAAACTTTTAGTGTTTAAGATTTAATTAATTTGACAAAATGATAAAAGCTTTTAATACAATTGTGCAGTGTGAGATCCTCAAACCACCCCCACCACTGTGGTACAGGGCAGGAGGAATGCAAGGAATTGGAATTTGTTCAAAGGACCAAGGACAACAGCCAGAAACTTGTGGAATTCCTTGTCAGGGAGGGGAAGGGAGCCTGTTGTGAACTACACATTCTGGATATCTTCAGCAGGTGCTGCTGCTTGTGGGGAACCTTGGGAACAGTGCTCCAGTTCAGACAGCTCCAAAGACTTGTCTGGATTGTGGGAGACACTCCTGCCTTGGGAACTGCCCAGTGTCAGAATGCTCAAAGCTCATCTGTGCTTTTCCTGAGCTCTCAGTTCCTCCAAGGAAAGTATTCCTTCATCTGGGTTTCTGACACAAGCTTCCATGAAGCAGGTGACTAAAGCCTGTTGAAAATGCAGGCACCAGAAAGCGAAGTTAGAAATTGCAAAAACCTTGTCTGTTGGTCTATAATTTAAGATAATGCTGCAGGTAAGTATTTATAGGTCACATTTCTCATCAAGAGAAATGTTTGGAACTACTGGAAGTATCTTGAAATGCTGGGAAGTTACCATACTGAAACTGCTATTGCAATACAGGTTGATAATTTTAAATTCCTTGTGGTTTTTTGTTAGTCTGATCAGATATTCCCGATCCTCTTTAGGCATAGTATTTGTGTTTGAAAAATAGACTTTGTTTTTATACTTATTACAAGGTATCTGCAATACTGAGCCATATCTCAGTTATAATAGTATTAGAAAGTTTTTTTCAGCTGGAGACAAAATAAGCATTTTTCATTATTGTAGTTTTTAAAATGTTTATTGGAATATAATTGCATGTTGAAAGAATGCCATCAACAGTCTCTAGCCTTCTAACCAGAAAGTAGAACTACTGAAAGTGATTTAACACCAAGAAAGATGATGCAAGACCTTGTTTGTCAAATAACTGGATACCCAATCTCTTTTACAAACCTTCAGTTGTTGGAAATAACATCTAAACAGTGACATAACTTTTTCACATTACTTGTCACACATACCTATATGTCAAAATGTAAATAATGTGTAGGACATCTACTTGAAATTCTGCACCTGTTTTTATATAAACAGATCAAATTTGCTGCTCAGTCACATTACAAAATCTTCCTAGAATGTTTTGGTCAAACTGGTTTTCTTTTGTTTTGCAGTCCTCCAACTCTCTGAAGGCATCGTACGAGGAGTGGCTGCTGACGTACGGCTTGAGCGTCTCTCCCTTTCACCTGCGCTGGCAAACGGCTCTCTTCAACCGCCAGTTCTACAACTGGGGGAGATGGAAACCCAAACTCCTCTACTTGTGGTATAAATTCAGCATCCTTTTTCTTCTGTCAGAGTCAGCAATTGAACCACATTGGTGCCTTTTAGCTGGGCAGTGGGTGTATGTTAATAGGCTAATGATAAAACCAATTGGAGTGGTTGCTCTAATTGTACTGTGCCAGTACAATTCTTCTGCTAAAAAATTCATAAGTGTAATACAGATTGCATATTGAGATGCTATAAAACTAGAAATCCTTAAACTATTTTTACCTGTGGTTTGAAGTATGCATGGTTGTGAAGAGTACAGCTATTACATGCAATACTGCATGCAGAAGTAGGTCTGAAAGCAGCTGCTGAGATCCTAGATCATTCCCAATGCTGTAGAGTGAGCTCTCCCAATCACTCAAGTTTACAAAGTATTCAGAGCCAGCTGTGTACCTGTAGTTTATCATTGCCCAGACATTCAGCAATGATACCTGCTCAGGAGCACCTTGCTTACCTTCTGTCTTTCATCTGCCTGCATTTTTCCATGCAAACATTGCACAGTGATGGGAATGGGTAGATAAGTAGGGTGGTCTAGTATGGGTGCTCCTGGAGTGGTTTAGAAAACTATTGTTCAGTTGCCTTCCTACCATTACTTTGTATCTGCTCTGAAAATATAAAATGAGTGAGGTTTGAATTTCTTTTCATTTCCTGTATTGCTACCTTCAATGAAATAGTAATAAAAGAGATGTACTTCAAATTGGTTTCTCTAGTATGTAATGATTTTGTAATAATCAGTCTGAAATAGCTCTGTATCAATTACAATTTTTAATGTGTATAATTTATTACAGTATAATGTTTCCACTAGTCTCTTTAATTAACATTACAAGTACATGTTGCTTAAAATAAATCTACTAATTCCCAGTGAGCTCCATTAAGGCTGATAAGAGAACAGTTGAGCTGTTATGAGAGGAGGAAGGACTGGTAGTGAGGTATATGTGCTGGATTTGCATCCCAGAAGTTTTTTTTAGTTAAAAAAAAGTTATCACATCCTTCAGCTATAGGACAGTGTAAAATTAGAATAGTAATATTAATGCTGAATAAAAATTTGTCACTAGGTGGAGTGACATGAAATTATTTGCAACATTGGTTTTAAGGAAAAATTGTTGAGAAGCGCAATGTAGCCTAAGAAATTGGTGTTAATGTGGTCTTGCAGCTGTACATTTTAGTTGTTCTTTACAAAAGATTCAGTCTCCTTTATTGTTCATTAGCTCATTTTATTTTTTGTAAGAAAGATGCAAAATTAACTGAAACTGCCCCATCATTTGATCCAGGTCTCTACGTGATGCTGTGGTGCAACATGGCCAATTATACATTGTTAGTTATGCTTCTATATTCTTATAAATTCACAAATTTATAGCTGCAAGCGAGTTACACGTATTAGGTAACTGAATAAAAGTATTTGAAAATTTATCAGGATATGGTTTGGATGTAAAACATTTATTAAACAAGGAGAATATAAGTTATTAGTGTTATTACTATATAATATTGTTATTAGTTTCCTTTAGCATTTTTGTACTGGATTGTTGATAAATTGTGGTAGCATCAGGTAAGTTTTGCCCTGTGGTTTGTGTAAAAGCTTGTGCTGTAAAGCAGAGATTTACATAGCTAGAGATGATACCCTTTTTCTCTTGTGGCTGTGCATTGTTGAACTGTTTGCTTCTCTGTGTAGGTTCAGTGTAGGAATGGTGTTTGGAATAGTTGCCATGTTTGGCTCCGTTATTCTGCTTGGAAAGACCCTGCTGCAGACACTGACCCAGATGCTCACCGAGGCTCCGAAAGCCCAAAATGATCGAATGCTGCAAGTCGTGGTGGGTGTTCCCTCCTCAGGTCTTTGCTTGAGAACTGTGTACACATCTAAAGCAGCTTCTTAATGGGGTATGGGGTGCTAAAATATTCTATGCAAGAATAACCCAACTCCTGATGTTATCTACATGAAAATGTGCTGGTTCTTTCCAGCCTTAAAAATGGGAGAGTGGGTATAGAAAAAGGGCAAATGAAGGCAAACATGTGGAAGAGTTTATTTTAAAAATTCTCAGGAGTGGGACTTGGATAATCATTCTGAAAAGCCCTAAATTACAGTACTAATAATAAAATTATAGTAGTAAGCATATAAAACTGAGTTAAGAACTCGTTTCCTGTAAGCTTTGCAGTAGGTTCTGGTGACCTTAAAGTTTGCAGGTCTCATACATAATTGACAAGAGGAGACAAGTTCTGTTTCTTTTAATACAATACAAAACAGCAGTGGAAAAGGAAAGAAGGACAAAAAGTTTTGTGTGATAGTAGAAGCAAAGAATTGTTAGTGAGGGAGTATTTTTTGATTCTTCAAGGACTTATGACTTAATTTACTATGTGAAATTTCAAGTGCTGTTTCTGGCAGTATCAAAGTCCAATGAGATATTTAATTGTTCTATGCATTTCTGGTGCTGGACAATATATTTTATAGTTTTAGAATGGAATGTATTTCACAAGATAGGAGAGATTTCAAATACTGTCTTTTTAATCTCTTCACATGGCAGTAATGGAAGAACTGACATTGCCTTGCAACAGTTTTAACTTGGAAGGATTCATAGTCACCTTTTTTATACCAAGAGTGCAATGTGGCCAAAGTGTATGGTCATTTTCCAGAAATTCAGAAAGTGTTATGGGATTGCTCTGCCTTCTGCTACGTGGCTTAGAGCAGAGGTGCCCAGCCTTGTTACTCTATTTAAGTACTCAGCTATTCAAGTGACTAGATGTTGAGAATTGTGTGCAGACAAAACAAACCTTCCTGTAAGCACTAAACTGACTGCATGCAGCTAGACTGGCATGAGTGCAGGAGGCCTGATTTAGCATGTGCCATAAACTCAGTACCTTTGGATGGCTGGGTCTGTTTCCCACAAGCAGAGTGAATATGCAGAGTTCAGTGTGTGTTGGAAAAAGCAGGCAGTGAGACCTGAGGGAGAACTGCTGTCACTGCCACTGCTGTCCCCTGTCCAAGGCCTGCTCCTCAGTTACCTTTGGGGGCAGACAGGAGTGGGCAGTCTGTGCATCTGGGAGGGCATGAGCTGAACATGAGACAGAAAATTTTGTGATTTACATTCCAGCAGGATCTGTCATAACCTTTCTGAAGTTCCTTTACATCTTCATATTCTGAGGTCATTGTATGGATCCATCCACTTTTGTGACACCAGAGTAAAGTGGTCATTGACAATATATTACTCTTTGGAGAAAATAACACAGACACAACCAGAGTAAAGATGAGCTTTTGGAATTAATCTGGTGTGAACTGGAACAACAAAAGTAGAAAAGTAGGATAATGTTCACAATTTCAATGTGGACTTGTTTCCTCAGTGGCTGCCTGCTGGCAATATCACTGCATTCAAACCAAGGATTGACTGGCACTGAAAACAGTTTAATAGAAAGGGATAAAGTAATGTCATGTGTGGGGATAAGGTTACTTCTCCTAAGTTCAGTTGTGGTTCTCTTACTTTCTTACCTCATTCTTTCATTTCACGGTTGTATAATTCTGCCTTTAGCAAGTTTTAGTATTCTTTTTAAGGGGAATGTGCTAGTGTAAATTGACACCAAAAGGAGACTTATGTGGTTGCAAAGAGGTGAAGAATTCATTAGGAGGACCTTCTAATTTAAATTATTTACTTGTATTTGGCTGCCTGGAAGAGAGCAAATTAGTTTTTAAAATACCCAACAAAACCCCACTTTTTCTTTGTAAACTTAATTTTAGCCTGTGGCATAAAGCTGTTTAACCTTTACCCTCTGGGTGTGGAGAGATGGAGAAACAGTTGTACTTATATTTTATTAAGATTTTTGTACACTTCCTCTTTTGTTCAATTATCGACTCGATTAAAAATACCTATCTATAGGTAACTGGGCTGTTTCTCTTCAGCTGCCCGCACTTGTGTTGGTTGCCTACTGACAAAAGTAGGAAAGAGGCAGATTAGTTACAAGGAAAGGATCTTCTTTTACTAAAGGCATTTCCAGAATGCCATAAAATACAAGACAGCATGCTTTTTTAACAAAATACTGCTATTGGTTTCAGAACTCTTCATGAGAGGTAACTTTTTGTTTTAGGTGAATCTTAAAATAGCTTCTTTGACATAAAGTCTGTGAGCATCTGGTGCTGTGTTCTTCAGGCTGTAGTCATGGTAGAATTGAGATGGCAGCTCTTGCTGTTGCCATCTGTCCTCCCGCTGCAGAGGCAATGCCACTGAAGTGATGCTTTAGTGCCACCAGCTGATGCTGCAATGCAAGCAGTGAACTTTAAGAAGTGAAGTCTGGCTGTCTTTCATACTGTGAGGTACCACAGCTGAGTCAGTTGAGGTAAATTCCTTGGTCACCATCACACTGGACAGAATTTGTGAGGTGATTAACATTAATGAATAATTTTGAAGGATTTAACTTAGCTAGATTGTCTCAATGAACTCTGGTAGAGTTCTGCTGCATGGGTAGGTAAATGCATATAAGTGAAGAATGTGCAGGACAGAACAAAGGCAGGATCCAACCTACCTAGTTGGATGTGCAGCCTTTTGTCTTCCATGATGCTGGGTTTTATAGAGTTCTATAGACAGGCCAGGAGTTTTTGCCCACAGCATCTCTTTTGTGAGGCTGGGTTGCAATTCAGGTTGTGTTCACATCAGTTGTTAGTGAGCATCCTGGAGTGCAGCCTGCCTTGAGTAGAAAAAGCTGTGGATCTGACAGGAGAAATGCCCCAGAGCAATCCCACTGCAGCCCAGCAGCTGAGGGCGTGGAACCGAGCAGGATGAAGGTCCATCAAGGGGAAGGAGGAAACAGTTCCTCATGCTTTGACTAGTGACCACTTTGAAGCCTGTCTGGACCAGCTGGTGTCTTGTGACAAGCACAGAGAAGGACCTGGGAGTAATGAGAATCCACAGCAACAGGAAGACTATGAGGGGCCTGCATATTATGTCTTAGGTAAATTAAAATAGTATACTCATTTCAAGGTGGGTTTTTTTTAAGGTTAAATTGTGATGTGTAGACTACCAAAACCTGAAGAACAGATGAAATTTTTTTTTGACCCTGTAAACTGGGATAATTTTATGATTTGTATAGGAAGAGAGAAGGAAGAGACTGACTGTTCAGCTGTCAACTAATTTTTTAACTTTTTATGTTCATACTCCTTAAAGAGCCATACAGTTTTTATTATTTTCTTTTGAAAGGTGGATCTTTTCTATAGCTACATGACTGGCTGCAGGAAATTGTAAACTAATGCTCACAGTGCCAAGCCTGTTTCATTTGAATGGAAGTCTGTGTACATTTTTACAAACTTCTTGAGCTTAATATAGAATAGGACACATTTGATCAGAGCTGTGGGGACTATATAGGGTAGGGAGAGAGCTTTTGTGCCTGGAGAGGTATTTAATGTTCCACAAAAGACTATCTATTTAATATATTTTAAAATACACTGAGTAAGTTGATAAAAGAGGTGCAGTGTGATCATGCTGCATGAGAACAGTCCCTGGTCTGTTGTGGGTCTGAAGAAGTGAGTGAGAGCAGCAAATTTAGGGGCAGAATGATTTGTCTTTGTACCTCTTGTTTTCCTCCAATGTTTTGTTTTGTTGTCATGCCCACATCAACAGGTGCCTGGTGTCAATTTGCCCATCAGCCAGCTGACCTATTTCTTCTCTGCAATCCTCATCAGCGGTGTGATACACGAAGTCGGCCATGGGGTGGCAGCGATTCGGTAATTTCTGTTCTGCTTTTCTGCTACTCTGACAGCAAAGCCAAATATTCCAGAGCAGTTACCTAGCTGTGAATGATGTTAGCACTGCTTTGTTTTATGTAGAGTCTGTTTAGTCTGTAATTCATATCTTCCTTAGATTTGAAGTTTGGAAGGGTGTACAAATTAGAGATAGAGTTCTAATACAGTGTCTATTATACAGATTATGAGAAAGGACTTCTGCTTTGCAAATATAACATCAGGTTTAAAACAGTCTTTTTAAAGTGGCCCTGTTTTTTCCTCAGCAATTTCATTTCTGTGCTTGTGACACTTGAACTCATGTGCTATTACACAGTAATACTTTAAAATAGATTTTTAATTTATTTGTTTAAACATAGCTTGTGAATATGATATGAACAGGTTGAAGCAATAACTTGGTCAAATGTGATTTGCCCCTGTTAACCTCTGTGATTTATTAGCTTTGATCAAAAATTATATTTTTTAATGTCCTTAACTATGATGATTACTTCACAAAAATCATTTGACAGTTTAGTTATTACTTTTGAATGCCACTTTAGCATAAGAAGGTTAAGCAGTGATTACTGGGACTGATGATCAGGTGTCCTCCAAATTTCTTCTGGGCAGCATTATTATCTCTTCTTTGAGCATAAAGCCCTAAGTTCTTTCTCTGATTGTCCTGAGTGTCGGGAGTCATGACTGCATTTTAACCCATATACTACCTTTCTTGTAACCACAAAGGTTCTCACTCAAAGGGGTGGTTTGAGAACCTCTGTGTTTCATATGCTCTGATTGTCTTTCAGCTGTCTTCCCTCAAATATTCACAAGGAATTTTCTGTGGAGGATGAACCTTTTGTTTATCCCATCACAGGAAGAAGAAACAAAATTTTCTTTCTACTGCATGTTGCTGGCAGACTGCAGAGAAGTTAGGCGTTAATACAGAGCTCTTTTTAAGCAGAAAGGAAGAAGAATTCTTGTGTCTTAATGGTGTGATATCTTTATTCAAGGTCTACAGAAAAGGCTTTGAATATTCAATTTCAGGTTATATTTTCGTAAAAAAATTTTTTTTTCCAGCTATTTTCAGAGGAGAAATTGGTTGGTCCAATGTATGTTGGCAGCCAACATTGCTGCTGCTGTTTTCTGCATGGCTTTTTTATTCTCCTTCTGGCATATGTTGAGTCTGTAGTGCTGTTACTGTAAATTTTCAGGGTTTCAACTTCACTAAAAAGCTGTGCTGTGGGCAAATTTTATTATTCTGGCAAGTCACTTAACCTTCCTGAAATCTAATACACTTTTGCCAACTTCAGTACTAGAAAGCATTAGCTACGAACTATAAGAGCTTAAATATTTGAGCCTTAGCTTAGTCAAGGCTTGTACCAAGCAAGTCTTTTTCTTCCTCCCTGTGTGTCTTCTACCTTTCATGAAATCCTGAACAGGCATTAAACTGCCTATTATTAATTGGTAGCATGGGATGAGTTAGCTCCACAGTATTAGTGTGAGACTTAACTTTGAATAATTGTGTATAATTCCTTGTCTTCTTTTGCTGTATATACACATTAAATAGATAAATGTAAATAAGGAAAAGGTTAGACCCAGTATATTGTCTCAGTAAAGATACGGGATTAGCTGATCTGTGTCTGGTTTGTCTTGGAACATGATTTTCCCATGCCTCTCTTAAGTCCCTTGTACAATTTCTAGTTTCAAAAAACCTTAATGTGTTTTTTCCAAAAAGTTCATTTAAAAGTAATTGCAAAACCCTTGGAAAAAATATCTGTATAATAGTGTCAGCTACTAATATATTTAAATAGAATAATGGAGTGTTAAGGTTTGGATGGGCATTAGCATTTGTCCTTTTAACCTCTTGACTTGTTTTCATTTTTTCAGATGACATTTCCTCATTTTTTCTTGGTTTACAATGTACTCTTAAAGTCTATTTAGGAGAAACAGAATTAAAAATTCCAGAACTGTAGAAGTATTTCTTTAAAAGGAAAGCAATTGATTCTTGCTAATATTTTTACATAGATGAGTTTGAAACTGCTTCCTACGGGCTGCCATTATTTTACTTAAAAGAACAATTACCCCAAATGTTGAAATACATGTTAACATGGAAGTTGGGTAGTTTTTAAAAAAGTATTTTATATGTTATTGTTACCAGGAGACAGAAAACAAGTTGAACTTACACTTTATGTTTTTACCAAAGTTAAAAATGTATACGGCTTAGAAGTGGCAATTACTGCAGAAAACATCCTTTGGTTTAATTATCTTTCAATTACTGATAGTACAAAAAATAAATTAGTTTTATAATTAAAACTTAGTCATTCTTGTTGTCAAAAACTGTGTGCTATTTAGAATCTCTCCGTTTTCTTTTGTTTGTTTGCAGTTACTCTGCTTCACTTTTCTTTTCTTCTTTTTAAGAGAACAAGTGCGATTTAATGGATTTGGAATTTTTATCTTCATTATCTATCCTGGAGCATTTGTTGACCTCTTCACAACTCACTTGCAGTTGATATCTCCTGTTCAGCAGTTAAGGATATTTTGTGCAGGTAATAGTTCATGGATTTTTATTAAATCTTTGCTTAGTACTGTTACTTATTCCAAGGCATCGTTGTGAATCTTTGATTTGAGTATTTAAGGTTTAGAATGAGTAAGTTCTCTTTACCTAACGGTGATCCTTCTGTTCTGAACCTGTGTTGGCATCTCAGAGAATCATTTGATCATTACTGTCCTTATTGAGCTGCTTTCTGGGCTGGAGATGTCAGTTTCTAAGATCTTAAATGAGCACAAATTTCTTGTCTTGAAAAACTTTATTATATTCTAGATCCAATTCAGAATAGTTGTGCATAAGAAATTCCAGTTGTGTAGTTGGGGAAAAACTGTGGTTTCTGGTGTTCCTCTCATTAGAAAGAGCTCTTGCACTGGGTGCAGAAGTTCCTCTGTCTTTTTTGTTTGTTTGTTGTTTGGGATGTTTCTGCATATTGTATAGCCTAAGTAGCAAAACCTTGGAGCACGCAAGCTGGGAAATACTGAGCCAGAATGGTCCTATGAGAAAAACGACTTCCTGTCAACACAGGTCAACATCCTTGAACAATTCACTACTGTTTTCTGCAATAGGAGCAATCTATTTTTCAGCAGTATTGTGAGAGATTTTCACTGACCTCTGAGTTTTGTTATTGTACAGGTCACTGTGTTTTGATGTTTCCATCAGGAGGAAATAAAGGTTAAAATACAAACATCCAAAGAGAATCGTTGCTTTTGTGTCCAGATAACTTCCAGATGTTTTTGAATTGATGTTTGTAGAAGTCTCTGGCTACTGGGAGGTGGAGTCTGGTTGTGAAAAGTCAAGCTGAGACTGTGTTGCTCTGCCTGAACCACTTGTATTATTATTTCTAGAGAAAAAGGTGGCTCCTGAAGAACTAAAATAGAGATAGAAGTTATCATCTTGGGTCAGTTCTTGATACTGGTGTTTTTTCTGTTGCAGGCTAGCAGCCAGCCTGTTGTTATGTTTAGTTATTAACATTGTTTCCTGAATGTTGTATCTAAAACATCATATAGAGGGTGGACATAGAGAAGCATTTAGCATGCATGTTTTCAAGCTTTCATAAATCAAATAAATAATTACAAATGTTAGGTAATTAAATATATCTATATGCCAAATACCTGAATCAACAAAAATCATTCACATACAATGGGCTTTTAGGAAGCTCTGTTTGTCAAATTAGTCTGTTTCTATTTCCATCTACTGGGAAGAGAACTGAAAGAAAAGGTATACTGAGTTTCAAAGTGGCTTGCTTACATGGATTCCTGAGACATTATCTAGAAAAATAGAATGATAAGCTGTAATAGAAGATAATTGCTTGCATATTTTGATGACAAGCAAACATCTGTAATAATTTTTCATGTTCTTGGGAAACCTGAAATAGTGGAATACAAGGCAGGAGCAAACATGTTGCAAGACTGATCAGCATGAATGGCTTGCTTTCAGTTAGGTATAACAAATAAATGCATTTTTTCACAGTTTATGATAGATAGGTTTCAGAACTAGGATCTTTGATAATGATAAAATGCAATATTCAGTAAACAACCAATTTCTTATATTTGTCAGAGCAGTTGAATGAGCTTATTCCTGGTGTTCATAAATTTAAATTTAGGGAGACTTGCTCATATTTTGTATAGTAGCTAAGTAACAGAGCTGGACTAAAGGCCAATACCAAATATTCTTTTTGTAGTCCAGCTATATTCTGGAGATTAAAAAATATATTTTTGTACAGCAGATGGCATCATATCTTCAAGAATAGGAAATGAGTGTTCTTGTAAGACTTGTGATATTTATAGCATAATTCCATGCCTACTAGATAGATGAAAAGGGATTCTGTGCAGCATCTTCTTGTAATTAGTTCATATATTTGTGTCACTTTCTGAGATAATTTGTAATACATTTCACCTTGTCTTTAACAGGAGTTAAATGCTTTTGGTTTTCTTTTTTTAATTAATTAGTAGTTAATACATTATTTTAAGGTGTTTTAGGGTTGTGTAAAATGTCTCTTCTTAAAGGTAAGAAATTAGGTGTCCAAGGATGAGGCTGTTTTAGCAAGAAGGTAGACTGAGCAGTGTGCCTCTGCATGTATTCTGATTTGGAGTATGTTTATTTTTCTGTGGATTACGTGGGATAAGTCTGAAACCTTTCTATTTTAGACTTCTTGCTGTATTCCACACAGCAAATGGTGTCAATTTTGGTAGCAAGGCCCATTTTTCCTAGCTGTTTGAAAGTATTCCGTGTCACTCTCTAGCAGTACCATCACCTCTTTTTTACTATTATTATTTTAAGGGTTGGGGTTTTTTTCCATTTACTCTGTGTAGCAGCCACACTATTGAAAAGAATTTTACATTTTACATTTTTGTTAAGGTGTTAAGCTGAAAAAATATTTTTAAGAGAAAAAGGTTAAAACAATAAAGTTAAAATATTTGCTCACTACTTCTGGATTTGTTGCAAATAAATGTGTGTGAGATAAGGAGAGCTGATTGCAAAAATATTTCCTCTATCTGAGTGCCTTTCCATGAGATACAATTAAAACTATAGAAAAAAATTACTTTAAGAAGCATGTGCCAGTGGAAATGGCAACTTACTTCAAGAACTCAAAAAATGTCTCTCATTTCTGCAGCATTAAAAGTGTGAAAGAAGGTGAGGTGAGATGTGGAGATAGACAGGGGAGATAAGTCTGCCATATGCTATGATTTCTGTGTTATATACATTGCAAGAAAGATAGGTTTAATATATTTGTAAATATATTTAATGGAATTCCTGCGCTGTATCTTCACTGTAAGTATAGAATTTAATCAAACTCCTCACAACAGGATGAAGCACTGTAAGAAAGAAATAAAGACTCTTCAACGCTGAAAGGTTTTCCTGCATTGTTCGTACAAAACTGTTTGTCTGAGGTCACAAACTAATGAGAAATTGTGGAACTGAGGAATTGTGTAGAGCTGAATGTGGAAAAAGGCACAAAACTTTGATGCTGAGCGCCAGCTGTGTCTTACGATAGTGGCTCATTGCTTCTTCTGGAGAACCACATACTATAAAGATGGTAATTGCAAATATGTTCCCCAAAACATTGTGTCAGCAAGTCCTGATTGTACAGTTTAGTTTCTTTATGGGGTTTCAGGTCCATATTTTCTTGTAGAAGAAGATTTTTTTTTAAATAATTTCCTAAATTCATTTGGCATATATACATGTCATAATTTTAATTGAAATAATGCAGGTTATCATCACAAATACTGAATTGCAAGTAAATTTCAGATATCTTGCTCTCTAGGACTAACAGTGTTTATTCAAAAATAAGCCCATTTATTGAGATTCTTTATTTCAACAATTTATTGTGGTAGAAGGCAACACATAATATATTTCATTCCACTATTTTTTTTAATTGAAGACAATTCCATAAATAGAAACTGTATTTTAATAGTGTATTCAGAAGCCCAGTTTCTCTTCTGGTACACTACCCTTTGATACTTAGAAGAGAAGTGGTACATGAAATCTTAATCTGGTAGAATGACACCGTAGAAATAGACTTACTACTCTCCTGTCTTTTTTGACAGTATAATTCTCAGGAGCTTAGAGGTTTCTCTAAAACTGCCTTACAAAGTGGCATCCTACAAGTTAAAGTCTGTAATCTGTGTACTCTTATACCTATGTTCACAAATTAACTTTTCTTTTTTTCTTGCAGTAATAATTTCAGGAAAGTTAATTAGAAGGCAGCTGTAAGATCATTTAAAAACCAACTTTTTGTTATTAGTGTTTATTTAGAAACTTTTTTTACCTTCTTTTTAGGGGTGTGGCATAATTTTGTTCTTGGTGTTGCCAGTTTCATGGTGTTGTTTCTGCTGCCAGCCATTCTTTTCCCATTCTATTACACGGGTGTTGGGGCACTTGTCACTGAGGTTGCAGAGGTAAGAAGATTTCCTGTTTCCATTTTTTATGTTTTGTGATCTGAAATGTACCTCTATTATCACAATCAGATTTGGTCAGTGTAGCCCTTTGCAGAATCTAATATACTGAACTTCTTGCTTAAAGTTTCCCTTTCAGTCTCATGTATCTTAGTATTAGTAAATAAAGGAACATGGTGTGAATAATGATAGACTAATTAGCATACCCTGAAACTGTTGAGACATTTGAGATGAGTTTGCAGGTTTATTTCTGGTTTTAACTGTTTTCAGTATTGGCACAAAGCAAATCTACTGGAAACTGCATTATCCCTCCAGTTACTGCTATCTGTTTTTAATGTTAAAGATTATTTTGAGCTGATTTCCTTGTTTGGTCAGCTGGAAGCGAAATAGAGATAGACTTCTGGGGTTCTGGAATGATTTTTTTCTAACTTAATCAAATACAGCACAGTTGAACAGCAGAGCTGAAATAATCCAGTCTTTCTTGGATCTAAAAGTCAATTGATAAAACTCAGGAGAGAGTGACATTTATAATGCTTTATTACCTTTGCAAATATAGGTACACTTGCTTTCTTGACAAGTTCAGGGTATTAATTTATGTTACTTGTACTTAATATGTTGTGGGTTTCCCTACCTTTTGACCTATATGAAAATAATTACTCAAATTTGAAGATGTGTCCAGCATACTTGGAGACTTCCCTTTCCCTCCCCTTCCCCCTATTTTTAGTGTCTTAACCTAAAGATTTCATAGTATTCAATGAACTGTAAATTAATCCTTGTTTATCCTCCTGTAGTAATAATGATTGACTTCTCTGTTCTTCTCAGGATTCTCCTGCCAATGGACCGAGAGGTCTTTTTGTGGGAGACCTTGTTACTAACCTACAAGACTGCCCAGTTTATAATGTGGAAGACTGGAATTCCTGTCTGGGAGACATTTCAGAGAAGTCACAGGTCGGCTACTGTGTAAGTGCAGCCACCCTACAGCAATTAAGCTTTCCAGCTAGAGGTATGACTTAAGGTGCTCTCCTCATTATTTTGTATGTTCATTAATTTATATTTTAATTTAATTTAATCATGTCTTAAAGACTACTTTGGATTTAGAATTTGTTGTTGGGGTCAGATTTCTTGTAAGTCAAATCTGCTGTCCTGTCTTAAGCAATTACCAATATGCCATGCTGTTTTGTGAAATCTGAAACTGAGGTAGGGCTAGATATAGGAATTTCTCGTGTCTTTCAGTCATCCTGTACAAATACCCTCTATGATCTGAATAATAAAATTTTCGTCTTTGGGATATTGCAGAACTTAGTTCTTAGCAGTAGTACAATTATCTCCTCTATTTTAAGTTCTGTAAAATGGAGCAACTCAGTGATATTTTGCAGATGTAAATTTCATGTTATGTCACAGCTTTGATCAGCATGACATTGCAAATTATAGGATTTAACCCAGTAATGTGCTTTATTATGGTCGCTTCTTCAGATGTGTCTCCCTATAAGGTTTTATGTCATTGCCCATAAACTCAGTTTTGTCTGGATTGCACATACTGCTTCTGGAAGTCAGTCTACTTCCTTCTGTTTCCTTTTATATGTTGGAGTGCTTGTTGCTGTAAGGGCTTATCCCCAAGAAACCAAAAAAAGAAAAGAAGAACTGAACTAAAGTAGAACAATATACAAAAATTGAGCAGAACAAAAAAGAACAGTCAAGATAAATTGACTGAGCATCTTGTGACATGCCCTAAAGCTCTGTAAAGTTTCTTTCATGCAAGCATTCATGGAAACTGAATTCCAGAGGTAAGGGGGTTGCTGCTGAGCAAAGCTTGTAGGATGCTATTCAGAGCTTTAAAATTGTCACTGCATTTTTCCATCATCCTGGGAAAAAAAAAGGAGGTCAGGCAACTCAGCTGTCCCTGCTTTTGATGCACTATAGAACTTTCGTGAGGCTGAAAAAGTTGTTTTGTTTTGTTTTCTTTTTTTTTTTTTTTTTATTATGTAAAGAAAGTGATCTTATAGCTGGTACTGAGATAAATATTTAAACTGGAAACTAGTGGAGTATGGGTAAGAACCTGTTTTTAGAGGTCTGACAGTTTGGATTATGCCTCTGAAGAGGAGTACCACTTTGGCCCATGCCTTCAGCTGGGCAGGGATGACAAGAACCAGTTCTCAGATGTTGTAGGTATATATATCCTCAGATTCTTCTGTTCTCTGAAGTGCAATTTTGGATTAATGGGTAATAAAACTGCATATTTTGCAGATGAACTAGTCCTATTTAGATTGGAATAGTAGAGACTTAGTGCTGGAGATTCAATATTGCTTCCAAGCCTGGTTGCTGTATTGTGTTAGCAGCCCATTGTTCCCACTGCTGCCTTCTAATCAGACCAGTCTGTCTGCATTTTCGGAGTCATAAGCCTCCAGCAGTGAGAAATATTCCTCTAAAATTAAATGAACTCTGCATGGTCTCAAGCAGCTGTCATTTATCAAAATTTTGACAGTTCACAACTTGACATAAATACAGGGTATTGATAAAAATGTATATAGCAAATGGACTCCATCTAGTTGACCATAAAACAAATGGAGAGTGAACTGAGTATTGAAGCTAGAGAGAAAACAATGCCCTAAGGAACGTTTTGAAATTAAAAAAAAAAAAAAAAAAAAAGTGGATTCAATATAGTTTATAAGGATACTAATTTCATGGTCATTTGCTATTCAAAACTATATGTGGTTTCTTAGCCTCAGGGTACTTGAGAAAAGGTTTGTACGGTACAGTGCTTGCACCTGTAAGCCCCAGGCATAAAGCTCCATGTCAGTGGATTGCAGGTTATGCAGTGATAAATCAGCAACCAGTATCACAGACTTGATCTGCCTGGGAAGGGACTGCAGTTGCTGTGATACAGATCCTTTCTGTGACCACTCTTTTGCAAATGTGTGTGTTGAAGCTGGACAGCAAGTTAGGCTTAATTAATTTCAAGAGCATATGTACAAAGGTTCTTTACCAGACAGTTAAATCATGGTTTAAAACATCATTTGTTCACTGCTGCAGCCTTGAAGGCTTGGAAGGCTTTCATGATGTAAAAAGTATGTTTTGAGTCTTGGCCGTTTCCACAACCAGCCAGTGAAATCAGTACAGTAGTAGCTAATAAATTTCTATGCCAAATATTGGTGCAAGTTAGGGGCAATGGATATAAAAGTGTTTTGCAACATGTAATACTCAAAGTAATGCAGTGGAAGATCACCAGTATCTCAAGGAGATTTATAAAGGTGAAAAAATCAGTATGTGACGTGACTGAAATCATGGGATTTTCACATGTTGGTGGTAAAGCTTTATTTGTAGTTGTGACTGTGCCTCAGCTAGACTGTGAATTTGTGTAATTCTTGAAGGCTGCAGGATAATTGCTTTACTTCATTCAGAGACTGATTTTTTCAGCAAATAATACTGATTATTTGCTCTATGGCTATGTTCTTTAGTTTACAGAAGACTTGATGGCACAGTTGAATGTTGTAGTAACAACAGCCTCACAGACATTTGCTTTTCATACAGCAATAAGTTGGAGAGCCATCTGGTAAGTTACTTAAACTGCTAATTCTCTTTGATAAATCTATTAAATGTATTTTTTTTAATGTTAAATTAGTAATATTTGCCAACACCTATACAACATACTCAAGTGTTTAAGAATATCTAGAGTTTGCAATAAAGGTGTGCATGTATGCTATTTTCCCAATTACAGCTTAAAAAAGTACAAAATATTAGTTACTATTTTTCCCATAATTAAACAGGGGGTCTCTGAAAGAATCATAAAAAATCTTAGACACCTCATTCCTTAACGCAGAAAGACACCTCAGTCATTTTCAGTATTCTGGATGCACGATACTGGTGAGAAAAAAAAAACAAACTTTTGAAAAGAAGTCAAAATTGCTTATTTTCATGTTTTAGTCTTTTGAAAATATTCAGCAATACAGGGAAAGCAAAGCCCTGGACTGCCTGTTCAGTTATTTTGTCTGAAGCCCTAAATTTAAATAAAAACATGCAGGAGAAGGTCCTAGAGATTGCCCAGTTTCCCAAAATAAAGGCCCATACTAGAATATTTTTTCACTATGTTGATTTTCTTGTCACGTAGAAACAAAGTTTCTCAGTAGCATTTTGCCTTACTCCCTTATAAAAGGGTCTAGCAGCATTCCAGTGCCTAAAGGGGCTACAAGAAAGCTGGGGAGAGACTTTTCATGGGGTCATATAATTATAGGACAAGGGGGGAATGGCTTTAAACTGAAAGAGGGCAGGTTTAGATTAGACTTTAGGAAGAAATTATTTACTGTGAGGGTGCTGAGCCACTGGCACAGTTACCCAGAGGAGCTGTGGATGCCCCATCCCTGGAAGTGTTCGAGGCCAGGCTGGATGGAGCTCTGAGCAACCTGGTCTAGGGCAAGGTGTCCCTGCCGGTGACTGGGGTTGGAATGGAATATCTTTAAGGTCCCTTCCAACCCAAGCCATTCTATGATTTTATGAAAATACGTCATTGTTTTTTAAAATAGGTGTTCCATACTGACAGTGATGCAATATTTCTGTGGGTTCTTTACAAGCAAAAGAACACACAAATCAACTATGTAAACTTTTCTACACATACCAGCTTGTTATTGTTCTGACTATAGTGATAAATACCTGAAGAAATTCAAATAATTTTTTCCCAAATCTGCTATGTTTATAGTTTCTACAGTGGTAAACTTCCCACTCCAGGGTATTTAACCACTAAGACTGAACACATTCCAGTGGTTCATTTGAAATATGGCAGTGGCAGCAACATTTGATAAATCACTATCCATTGAGCCTGGGCATTCTTGAGCTTGTAGTTGCTCCTTATGAACAGAGAAGAAATAAAAGCATCAGGAAGCTTGAGACCTTGTGACTTTCAAGTGTCCTTAGGCTGGCTGTGAGCTTTGAACTTTTTTTTTTAAATGGTCCTTGCAGCAGTTTTTTAAAGTGTGTCTTCTCCTTCATTAGAGTAGAAGGAATTTGTATCAGGGTTACTGGTGAGGGTCTGACACTCATGCGTTATGGGGAGTGCAATGATCAGGCTGAGAAGGTAGAAATTACTTTTGCTTTTCCTCCTAAGGCAAACAGTAGATTATGATTCCTTGCTTCTATTTTTAGAATAAAAGGAAACGTGTCACTGAGATTTTCCAAGAGACATGAAGGGGAAAACTAATTTCCTGTTCCCTTCTGCTGTACTGTCTTTGGCCCGTGGGGAGCAAGAAAGATCTGGTCTGTCAGAGAGTGAAAGAGTGTTATAGGCAGGGGTTGGGGCACAGCAGTGCATCATGTCCTGTGTTCATCTTAGTTGAGAATGATTTCTTAGCTACCACACACCAGTTAGGTTTGTTGGTTTATTTGCTAAAACTTCATCTTGAACAGGTAAGTCACTAGGATGTTGATATAAGCTCTGTCCATTAGAAATCACTGACCTATGTTTAGATGGCATGATTTTTTGTTGTGCATACGTGTACATTTTTTGCATTTTTTGTTGTACACATGTGTAGAAATAGTTTGCTTTTATTTTACTATATGTACATATCCTCTCTTCCACGCTACAAAATATGGAATGACAGGTTGAATATGCATCGGGTAGAGATTTGTCACGATTTGACAACAAAAAAATAGGGAAAAAATCAGATTTTAGCTCTTCATGGGCTTATATCAGTGAGGAATTTTTTTGCTTAAAAAGGAATATTTTATTCCTTTTATTTGATCTTCTGGAAAATAGCTTACCTTTACCTTTCATGATGGTTTTAAATGCCCTTTGCAGTATGCCTGTCTGCCAGCACGAAAAGTTATTGAAGCCAGCAAAGTTTGTCGAACCAACGTGGACTGCCATAAGGACTTCGTTCCAAGCTTTTGTGTGACTCCTTCTTTGGAGAACCAAACAAGGCTAATCAGGGTAAAGCATCCACCCCATATTGACATGCTCTATGTAGGACACCCCATGCATCTTCAGTACACAGGTTGGTATTATTTATTGAAAGTTTAGCAAAAGCAGTCTCTAATATGGTTTCCTTTGTCTGCCTGCTTAAACAAGGTCTTGGAGTGCTTCTTAGTTAATTTGTTTAAAGCAGAATCCATTTCTTCTTACAGCCAGTGGAGAGACATGGACTACTCAGGCCTAAAATAAAATGTTCACAGTGCAATAAGTTATGAAGGTAATAGAAACCATATGTGATACGAGATGGTTGTTTTTTCAGAAAACTATGAAAGGGCTATTTCTGGAACAGAGCTTATTCAGGTTAGTCATAGGAACCAGGTGCATGCATTTTCCTAGCACATAAATGTATCAAAATGCTATTGTAAAACTCTAGGGCACCTTGCTCCTACAGCTTGCCTAGAATATTAGCATGACTGCTTAAATCACACCTAATATCCAAGTATCTGTGGCAAATTCCCATGACTACTGAGCCACAAGTGTTATCACAACATAGTTTTTTCCTGATTTACTTTTTTTCATTTGACTGCCCTAAATTAAGTAACATACAAAAATTTAGTTCCTTTCTTTGAAGTTAACTGTGACTGTCCTTTGGGCATCTTATATAAATTACAAGTAATTTTGCTCCTGAAATGAGTATGGAAAGAATGAACAAATTTATCAACATCCTGCTTGATAGCTTGAGTGGCGTGGTGAAAATTAGCTGCAGATGGGCTTTAAGAAGTTGGAAGTGTTAAATTGCTATCCCTTCCTGTGAGGAAGGTGTCTGTTCCTCACAGAGAGCTGAAACTCCTAGGGTGATTTTGGAAGTACTACCTTGGAAGTATCTCCTTAGGAAGGCATTGTACTTTTCTAAATAAGCACTGGAATTAGGTACAAAAGAGTTTTAGAAACAGTGATGAAATCTGGTGGTGTAAATCCATTAATGTTCTTGGATACCATATTTTCAGTTAATCTATCAGTCTTTATTTTTCCATACTAGTAATTTGATACTCTGTGAGGAGTTACTTATTTCAACTTTTTTTTTACAATATACTCTAATTTAAGCCCAAAATATGATCTCTTCATTTGTTACTTCTGGCCTTATGTCATTTAAGAGGAAAACATTTTTCACTTGTGTGTTACCAACACACACTACTGTATCTGATGATATTTATTTTAAATGCAGCAACATATTTTAAGAACAGAGTTTTATAATTATTCAGAATTCCTTTTCTTGGTCTTTAACAATACAAACTATTGGTACTGAGGAACAATTGATATTGTTCCCTTTTCAGTAAATAGGAGCAATGGAGTTTTCATTGGCGTTTCCCACTGTAGTAATTCTGCAGAAGAATTAAACCTGCCAGTCTTTCAGAAGTCAGAAAAGATTGTTATTGCATTTAAAGAGGTAGTTCTTCTTTAAGAAGTTATTTTGTAAAAATACTGTTTGCGTACACATGTAGGAGTAGAATTGTGAAGTGATTTACTCTTGGAATTGTGCACTTAATACATTAATTTGAAAGCTAGAAGTTAAATTTTATTACCAGCTTTGCTGCAAATGTAATCTATGCTCTTATGTTTCTTTTGGAAAAACACTAGACCAAAATGATAGGATGCTGGCTTGGTAGCAGGCAGTCTGCTGTGCCATTGTAGAATTTAATTCCAGTGAAACAACTTCTAAATATTTCAGGCTTAGCATTGCATTGTACATGACTGGCTGGGGCCAACAGGTTTAATGTGGGTTGGTTTGGTTTTTTTTCCCTAAATGTGACTGATCAGAATATGGTAACTGCTTTTTACAGTTTAAAAAAGAAAATAATTTCTTCCTCTACTGTGTGAGCTTTGAAATAAGAGTATGTTTTAATGAAATGCCTTATTCTTTAGTGTGATATTTCTGCCTGCAGGAAACATTACTTTTTACAGTGGTGCTATATTTAACACAAACCATAATACGGGAGTGGTAGTACTAGTGTGTACTATGACTATGCTTTCTCTAGAAATGTTACTAAAGCAATGTTTGAATAACATTCTAAAATTATGAATGCATTATTTTCTTCTTAGGCTTGTATTGTTGTCATGGTAGTCCTGATTTATGGAAAAGCAGTAATTAATTCATATTTTCATTTGAAGATAACTTCCAAATGACACATTTTTTTTAAAAGTAATCTATATTAGCTACTTAGAAGAAACAGTCTCCACTGTTTATTTCTATTAAATCTTTCTGTTGCCTCAAATTAAAATATCCTAGCAAAAATATTTTTGTTCATATGGAGACTATATATACCAGATTCCAGTAAAGAATTATAATGATGAACTTACAGGGATGAAGATCTGGCCAAAACTAAAACAGAAGGATGATTAGGAGTGCATGTTTTTTGGGACAGACACATTAACGCTTTTAATTATCATCCTTTCTGTAAAAAGTATGTAATGTTATCCAGTATAAGTTCATACTGTCGGTTCAATACACTTGGTATTAAGTCTTTTAAACTCTTCCTATTGCAGGCCAGTCATGTTCTAGAGTCCCTTCCTTTGTTGGACAGTTGATATGTAAGGTTGAAAGGGAGGGCCCTGCCAGTACTGCCCTGCAAATTTGAAGTGTTTCTTCTTTATTATGTATGAGGGGTTTTATTCCCTCATGTAATTTCTAATAGTGAGACATTTTTGCTTCCTTCTCTTCTTCCTGGTTGGTTGGGAAGAATCTGGTGACTAAGATTTAAATTAGGAATTCACACTACTTGAGGAAACATCATATCCTTGAATGTTACTCTTACCTATCACAGACTAAAAACCATTAAGATTTTCTTCACGAAAAGAAGATGGAACTTACCTAGAGATCATTTCCTCAAGCTTGACCAGTCTCCTACTTCTCTTGTATCCAAATCTTTAAAAAAAAAAGTCACTTCCTGGCTTTGGGCATGTTTATGAGCAACAGCAGCCAGAATCCAAGCTGAAGGTCTTTCTGGTGCAGCCTGTTCTCTCAGTATTTCCATGCTTGTTTACCCTTATAACTGAGGATGGTCCTTCATTGCTTTTAACCCAGGTTTAAAGGATTACACATATAGTTCTTCAGGAGACCACACAGAAATATCTCACGCCATGCTGTCTGTCTCCTCCATGGCATACATGCCCTTTCCCCCATGAAGAAGTTTTGAAAAGCTCTTTGGTCAACCTAGTCTCCGAGTCACTTCCAATTAAAATTCTGTCTGTTGTGAATCCTTCTCCAACACCATCTAGCATGAGCCAACAAAGAAATGTTATTTCCAGGTCAAAGAATAGTTTAATTAGAGTGGGAAAACAATGACTGTTTTCTCTCACCCAGGCTCATTGCTGTTCACCTCTTCCCAGCAGTGTCTTTGAAGACAAGCCTGTAGTGTGTAATTTCTGTAATTCTTTTGTTATTCTTCAGAGGACAGATTTGCCTACTGCCATTAGGTTTGATCCATTACAACCACAAAATTAATTGCTTCGTATTACAGTCTCTAGAGCTCAGTCCAGAAACTTCCTGAAGATTTTCTCTGTGTTTGGATCTTGCTGCGCAGCAAGGTCTGGAGTTTAGATCCATGTCTAGTGGCTGTCAGTGACAACAGTTTATTGTAACAAAGAGGGAAGAAGAGCAATGATTCATTCTCAATGTAGGCATAATTTCAGGTTCAGGATGGTAGTGGCCATTAGGCGTTTGTCAAGAGGCAGTCAAGCTTTGAAACTACAGTGTTTTTCAGTGTGTCTTTTGAAACCTTTGAATACACTGGCTGTCTCAGCCATTTTGCTATTTTGGCTCATGAACAGGAGTTTTGATCAGATGTTCTGATATCAGCCTTCAGCTTGACAAGTCGTTTGCTTTGGATATCACTTGACCTATGCATACAGACAAACTGGGTAATGTGAGGCTGGAGAGCAGCCCTGCAGGAGGACATCTGAGTGTCTTGGTGAGTGGCAAGCTGAGCATGAGCCAGCAGCGCCCTGGCAGCCAGGAGGGCCCTTGTCCCACTGCCAGGAGGGGATTGTCCCACTGCTCCGCAGTGGGGCAGCCTTACCTCAAGTGCTGGGGGCAGTTTTGGGCACCACAATATAAGAAAGACACAAAGCCATTAGGGTGCATCCAGAGGAGGGCTACGGAGATGGTGAAGGGTCTAGACAGGAAATCATTTGAGGAGCAGCTGAGGTCACTTGGCTTCCTCAGCCTGGAGGAAACTACATCATGGTCCACAACCTCACAAGGGGAAGTGGAGTGGCAGGCATTGGTCTCTTCTCTCTGGTGACCAGTGACAGGACCCCAGGAAATAGCCTGAAACTGTTCCAGGTTTAGGTCAGATATCAGTAAAAGGCTCTTCACCCAAGGGGTGGTCAGGCAGTGGAACAGGCGCCTCAGGGAAGCAGTCATGACACCAAGCTTGGCAGAGTTCAAGCAACATTTGGACAATGCTCTCAGGCACATGGTGTGTCTCTTGGGGATGTCCTGTGCAGGGCCAGGAGTTAGACTTGATGATCCTTGTGAGTCCCTTCCAGCTCTGGATATTCTGATACGATACAAATACTTGGGTGAAGACTGTCCCTTTTATTCAGACAAAAAGCCAATGCCTGAAGCTGTTGTTTGTGTTTCTGTCAGCCCAACCCCTACTCTGGCAGGCCCATCTTCAGCTTTGTCCAGAGGGCTGGGCCAGCAGGTTTGGGGGTGAAGGGGGCTATTCCTGTTGTGGCTGGGGCTGGGCAGTTTCCACAGCTGCTTAAGGGCAGCCAAGGAGGGGCAGGGGAACAGGGACAGCTGAGGGAACTAATGTGTGAGTTTATTAGGGTTACTGCAGTGGCATGGCAGGTTCAGGTGAACTGGTCTGGCTGTCTGAGTCTGTGATCAGGTGGGTGCGTTCCTGCTGGTTTCCAGAGAGGCGCCTGTGGAGAGAGGAGGTGGCTAAGCTGCGGGTGACACACAGGGACTGTCCTCCACAGCAGGACCCGGAGCTGGCAGGGCTCACCGCTGGGAGTGGAGCTGCCAGCACGCCTTGGCAGAGGCACCGCCAAACAGAGGGACTCCTCTAGGCAAGT